TCTGTTTACTACAGTCTGTTGATTCATGTTAATGTGGATTTAATTACATTTCAATTAGTGGAAAAAATTACAGGGGCAAATATTAGAAAAAAGTCTAATCAAGCCAAACTTTCGCGACCCCCATGCAGTACCTCTGTGGACCCCCTAGGGGTCGCGGACCCCCTGTTGAAGACCTCTGGTCTAGAGAGAAGCGCCATCTCCTGGTCAGACCCAATAATTCAGTGAAACAATGAAGTCAGAGTAAAAAAAATAGGGGGGGGGTCACTGCAGTGGCGGGAAGTTGGAGGGGATTCTCCTGGGATTTGGAGGGAAGTGGGCTGCCGTTTGACTGGGAAGGGCCATTTTGAATGGCTGCTGCTGTAGTTGTTTCTTGCTGAAAAGCAGGTGGAGTCGATTTCTATCATTTCTCTGAGTTTTTAGTTGAGGAGTTCAGTCTCTGCTCATCCAGGGCTAAATCTATGCAGCCAGAGGCAAAGGTTTCCGCATGTCGGCTCCTTCCGACCACAGCAGGTCTGAAACCCCTTCAGGACTCTGCCTGCCTGACTGCTTTTACAGTGTAAGTCCTGTTTCCTCCTGACGTCCAGTTTTTAAAAAAATTATACCCATAGTGTTCCAGTGGCTGTGAATTCTACAGGTGATTTTCTTTTTTCTCTAAGCTAGCTTCTGTTGGAGGAATGAACACTACGCTCAAACCTGAATGCAGGAAGAGCAACGATTGGCTATCAGTGTCACTAAGGCTGCAGTTACTAGCTGCTGATTGGTGGTCAGCATGTTAGGGCCTGTTTAACAATCAGCAGCGCATTAAAAAAAAGACTGTTCCATGCATTTCAGATCGACGGGCGGGAGAGCAACGTAGAGCTTGCTCCTGTAGATGGTGACACCGCCTCACACGTACTTCGATTTTAACACACAGATAATCACACAAATACCAAGACATTCCAGCAGAACCTGAAAGTTTCAGGATCCTTCAAATAGGCCTGTTAAAGATTCTGCTGACCTCTGACCTTTTCCTGCAGCCTAGCTTCCTTTTAGCGTCCATGGAGTTAAAACCCGTCCCAAAAACAAACCGAAGGTGCTGGCTTTAACTTTTAACACTTTTTAAATGTACAAAATTGAAGAGAATCAAAGAAATCAGAAAATGTTTGAGGATTTCAGATCAAATCTGTTCATGGTGTTTATTTGTTTATTTATGTTGCTGCCAAAGTAATTCCTCTTCTTTACTTTTCATTCTTTGCATTTTAATGGCATGCAGGAAACTTTTATCTTTACAACCTAAAAATATGACAAAAAACATCCTGAAGGTCTGGATGAGTCAAGCTGATGATTTATCTGAAGAATACGGATCTGATAAAAGCTGAAGTCAAAGAGTCTGAGCAGGAAGAGAAGAAGAGAGGCGGACGGACAGGAAGTGATTCATATTTCCTCCTGAGACTTTGGAGCCGGAAGAGACATGAAGAAGGTAACGGGCTCCTGAGCTCCAGATGTTTCCACCGCAGCTGGATAGAGACAGAGACGTCTGTGCCCCCCCCCAAACCCCCCACATGTGAAAACTAGCAGTCAGCTCAAAGAGCTGCTGCTGCTTATTGGGAAGTTCTGCTGATCTCTTCTTCATTGTGAGAAAGCATTAGATAGAAAGCAGCCAATCAGAGCAGAGCAACCGGCTAATAGTTGGGGGAGGGGGGGTTGCAGTTACTTCTTATTTAGTCCAGAGTGTAATTGTTTATCTGAGTGGGTGTGAAATGCTCCATGTGTCTCAGAGAAGCTCAATAATATCGAGCAGCTGCTGAAGCAGGTGGAGGTTCATCACCTCCTCATCTGGGAGGAGGTGAAGCTCTGCAGCTGTAGGTGGCGCTGTGACCACATTTCTGAAGGGTTTGGACTTTTCATCCGAACTAGAAATGATTGAGTTCCTGTTAAACTGTTGTTCTTGTGGCTGGACTCTGCTGGAAAACGCCTGGAAACATCTTGAAGCTGCTCCTCTCCTTCCTGATGCTGTGGAGGAAGGAAGGATGGACTTTGCTTCCTCTTTGGTGGAACCTGGAATCTTCTGGCTTTGAAAACAAAGAGCTGCAGGTTCAAATCCACTGAAGATGTTAGTAAATGCGAGGAGAACCTAAACCAGAAGATCTGAGCTGATGCTGATGAGCAAACTCGATCTCCTGTCTGATTATGGAACCAGCAGAACCTCATGGGAGGAAATGAGTGATGGAATCATCACCTCCTCTAACCTTCAGCTCCTTCTGCGGCGTGCAACCTGCCGTCCCTCCTCCTCTGATTCTCCTCTGATCTCCTTGCTGCCTCCTGACCTTCTCCTTGTTCTGTGGGTTGTTTGGTGGAGAGAAGCTGCCCAGAAGGTCCAGGTGACAGAGCTGCTGGAGCTGGAGCAGCTCTGAGATGTTCTGATGTGACCTTCGTCACATGATTCTCCTGTCCTGCTCGGCTCTTCATCGTGTGACACAGGGAGGTTTACTTCCTGCTTTTTATGTTCCTCCTTATTCCAGCACCTCCTTCCGGTCTTCTCCACCATTTCATTTGCAATAATTCCCATTCTCCCAGGAGGAAGGCAAACACGTTCCTCTGACTTCATCATCTGATGAATTTATTTAGATGGCGCGCCGCGCAGCGCTGAGCAAACAGTCGCAGACAGAAATATAAATGCAGAAACATTCCTACATTCATCTCTGAGCGCGCTCACTGGCACAGACCATTAAAATGTCCCCAGTTGTTGAAAATGGGAGCTGGAGGGACGCCAAGAACTCACTATTCAGCGTCTCCACCTCCCTCCATCTTTACAGAATAAAAGGGAGGATGATAGGAGGAGCGAATGATGGAGAGCTGCAGGAATAAAGAGCTGCCTCCTGGTTTCACAGTCGGTCGCTCTGCGTAAAAACTGAGAACATCTAATATGAGCAGACAGGATGAGGATGAGGAGGAGGAAGGTCATAATAATAATAATATTTTAACTTTATTGATCTCACACTGGAGTAATCCTTTAACCCATCCCCTTGGGGAGCACTGTGGGGTTAAGGGTCTTCCTCAGGGACCCAGAGTGGCAGTGTGTGGGAGTGGGACTCGAACCCAGAACCTGTTAGGGTTTAATGATAATAGAAATCAATCAACAAAAGAGGAGAGAAGACAAAGATGGAGAATGAGACTCGCTGAATGTCTACCTGGACCTTTCTGTCCCCCATCCTTTACTATCAGACTTCAAAGGAGAAGTTTAAAACGTATTAAAGGGGGGGCAGGTTTATTGGGGGCGGTGATCAGTCACCTGCAGCAGCATAGCTGGATAAAAGCAGGTCCTTCCTGGGAGAAACCTTCCCCTGCTTGATCATCATCATCATCATCATCATCATCATCTAGTTCTCTCCTCACAAGAAATACAACTTCAAAACAATGAAAATAATAATAAACTAAAAAGAAATATCATTTAATCCGAAGCAGTAAATGAGAACAAGTGATGGAGGCAAGAGGAGAAACATCTGATGGAAATATTAATTCATCATCAACAGGAGAACATTCTGCTGAATCTCTTTTAATTCACACTCAGCCTTTTCCAAAAATGTGGAAAATAAAGATCCGCCATGATGGATGTTTTTTCTTCCTGCTTCTGTGAAGCGAGATGCAGATTAGTGGCCTTTGCTGAGTATGAAGGAGGTTCAGGTGACTGTGACCTGGCCGTTCAGGTCACATGTGAAAAGATTCATCTGGGATTCAGGTTCCTCTGATGGTCCAGGTGGTCTGGGTCTCACTGGAAAGAACCGGATCTGTGTTGTTTAGACATGGAAAGATCAGAACCAGGAACCCTTCAGGCTGCTGTGTGATCGTAGCCTTAGAGCTTCACTCAACGCTTTATTCAACATGTACAAAAATACTAAATATTATAATAAATCATGTATTAATAATACTTTTATTATGAAAATATTTACAGTTTAACACTGTAAATGTTTGATATTGTCAAAAGGAGAGAGTAGGAGTATATTCCCACCCAGAGCTATAAAACCAGAATCAGAACCAGAATCAGAACCCTGCAGGGTCCATTCTGGTCATCAGTTTAAAGAGCGGCTCTGTCTGCTGGATCAGACTTCCTCTCCGTTCCTCAGTGAAACATTGATGGTTTAACCCTGATTTGAAGCAATAACACAGAATGTGCTCCAATCTCCTGTCTCCATCTACACTTCAGCCCACGTTAATGGGTTTCTATCTGCCCAGAATCAGTGTATAGATCTATGTGACCCCACTTAACCCCAGTGAGACGGACTGATTCATGTTCCTCCTGCTGGAGGATCAGCAGCAGTCATTATTCCACTCCATGTTCACACTGAGGGAAATGATCAGAGGAACCTTCAGCAGCAGAGCAGTTACTGAC